CATCACCTTGCTGTCTGGTCCATTTTGTCTCCGCGGTGTGGAGAGAAATCCCCGTGTGTTCTGAGAGTGGATGCCGAGGCGAGGAGGTTCCCTTTCCTTTCCTTTCTGTTTCACTTCCTGAGTGAGGGAAGGAAATCGAAGTAGGAAGCTCCCCAAAGAACCACCAGATGAGACCATGGGAGACGCCAAGACACTAACAGGTTCTTTGGAAACACTTTGTAAATTCTGAGACATAGAAAGCAGGGCACCTTCAGTTCTAAAAAGCAGTTTATATTGCAATGGTGCATTTACTCTACCAAGTAAATGATCATGTCGCTATTTTGAGTACTACATATTCAGTGCGTTCCTGTGCTCTGCCAGAAGTACTTAGTGATACTTCTGAGTAGAAGAGTCAGGAGAAAGGAAATAACTACAGCGGCCTGATACCCAGTGCCAGGCCGGCTCCACTTCCTCCTTAGGAATCAGGGTAAGGAAGTGTCCATGACAGTGACCCTTTAGTTAATAAATGAACAGAGGGAGAAAATATGTCCTAAAATCTGTGCTGTACACTAGTGGAAATCATAAACTGACAAACATCATCTATTTGGGAGGGAGTCCCAAATCTGCTTTGTTTGAGGTCATAGTTTTCAAACCTAATTCCTACAGTCCGTGTTGGAGTCGAAACTGCAGTTTAGTGACTCCTGGTTACACGATCTGGAAAACTGGGCTCCGCGCATGCAGCAAGCAGCTCGTTTATCTGACTTTAGACAAGACACCTTCTATCAGCCGCTATTTCTAATTTTTCAGACATTTATAGAACACAGGAAAAAGCTTTTTTGTTTGTTTGCTTATTTTTGAGATTGTGTTTTCATTACAATATTTCTCTTTTCCCTCTCCACCCTCCAAACCCTTCCACACACCCCTCCCTGCTCTCCTTCAAATTCATGGTCTCTTTGGAAAAGAGCTTTTAAGGTCCCGTAATGTAGCCTTTTCTGCAGGGCTGAGTAATCATCACAGACAGTTCATAACCAGGGAAAGAAAGCAGGTTTGAAATAAAACAACACGGTTTAAATGAGGTAACAAGCACAATTTCTATTGAAATTCTATGTAGTTTAAAACATTTAGAGAAAAGTGTTTTTCACAAAGCTACTAAAAGTAATTTTAAGAAAAAATTTTTTCCTTTTAAAAGTGGAGTGCTCTGAAATTTAGGGAAATGCTGACTAGGTGTTTCAGGACTCATGTGCCAGGATTGGCTATTTCAGATTCTTCTGGCACCATCTAGTGGTCTAGACCAGCAATAGCATCTGTTTTTGACCCAAGTGCTGACGCCGCGGAGACAGCTCTGTGGATTTTCTTCAGGGGTGAGAAGAACGACCCAACATCCTCCTCAAGGATGGAATGAGAAAAAAATCATTTTATAACCCCCACGTGGCCCTAGCATTATTTGAATAAAAATATATGGGTCTTAGCAAATATTTCAGGTACAATTTTCCTTTCAAATACGTTTTGCACAATTTTTAAATTAAAGTTAGCAGAAGGCTAGAATACACATAGAATTTAATATTAAAAATCAAAACAGGATGCTGTGTTAATGTGGACATTTTTAAGATGTTAATGAAGTCTTTAAGACTGCTGCACATTTCAATTAGAAAGGGGTACTCTCTTAGGAAAAAAGATCAGGGAGTATATGCAAGTGATATTTTTACTGGAGCAAAGGCATGCTAAAGGTGGATGCAATTGGCTTTGCAAAGGTTGAAAAGCATGAGGTGTGGGTGCTGAATATCAAACTCCTCACATCTTGATTTCTAATGTTGCAAACACTCTTTCTCATGGAGCTGTCAAAAGAAAATGCACATATCTACCCATTTCCCGATTAAATAGAGAATAACTATTGTTTGAGAAGACAAAATGATGTGGAGGTGTAAGATGTCCTGGTTCCTTGATGGATAAGCTCTATCAAAAATCGGTGTCAGATGAGGCAGAGTCTGAGCTGTGGAGAGAGCAGGAAGACATCTGAGCATCAGTCTGGTCCACTCTGAAACGGGGTGAGTGAGATGCTGGGTCAGGCACTTGGGCATTCATTAGTGATCTCCTACTGAGCTCAAACATGGCTCTTCCTCCTGCTCAAAATTTGGTTATGTAGGGACATTGTGCAGGTGTGTGTGTGTGTGTATGTGTGTGTGTATGCACACGTGTGTGTGTGTATGCATGTGTCCGTGCATTGTGTGTGCATGTATAAAACCATATATATATAAATTTAGACATTTCTCTTTCTTAGTTGTAGTGCCTGGAAGTGAGTGAGCTTTGTGAGTTAGTAAAGCAAGTCATTAGAGACAGAAATTTAAACCCAACTTTTAAAAAGTTCATTTTGAATTTTCACAGTCTCCATAGTCTATGAAAACAAACAAATGAAACTTGACCAAAGTTTGGAAATCTGAATAAATTATATATATATATTATATATGTATATATAAAACTGTGTTAGTGATATGTAAGCTCAGCTCTCCTTCACAGTTTGTGAACTTTCTAGTTTACACAATGACAGCAAATACCCCTTCGGAAAGGCCTACTGTTTTACGCATGTATTGTTAATGGCAGGCGTGAAATTTACCCATGAACAGAGGCCTCGGCATTCCAGAAAACTCTCTGTCATTTTAACCTGATGTTCAAAATTCTTTTGCCGGAAGAATGTTTGCTTCCCAAAACAAGAAGGTTGACAAAATAGACACCTTTCGGGATGCATTCCTAACCAGCAAAAATGTACTTCTAGGTGACTATGACATTGCTATACATTATTCTGAGAGCAGATTTGAAACTTGAACAATTGAGTTCACATGGAATCAGCCAGAGGCTAGAGTGGGTGGAAAGAAAATTCTGAGGATGCTTGAACCAACTTTGCCCGGCTGACTGCCATACCAAAGAGCAGTGATTATGTTCTCATCAAATTAGGGTTGTATCTTTTTATTGATAACTTTCATAATGCATAATTGGCTTCAGAACTGTATTTGTATCACATTATAACAAAGTCAACACAGGTTGTGAGTTAAAGTTCCTAGAAAGAAGCCGTACCCTATAACAAACATTCTTCAAAAGCAGATTTACAGATTAAAATTTCAATAATTTCAATTATTTAGCCCCTTCCAAGCCAATAATTCCCATCTGTGTGTCTAACCTAACAACCCTGTGAGTATGAAAACTTGTAGGTTAGTAGACCCTTGGCTTCCACCAACTCAAAGCTGACATGATATGACATGTCATGCCGTCAGATAACATCTATGGCTGACAGAGGAGGCTTCTCAGCTTTTCTATGACCTCCTTACCTGATGTTTTCAATGTATTTGAAAAGCACATTGATTTATGGCTTTTTTTTCCCTATAAAGTTTCATGAAATTGCTACCTCATCGGAACATGGAATTTGGGCTAACTTAAATCTGTATTCCTGGGTCATAGTCACTTATATTCGGCTCTAGACTAAACCATTTCTTAAACTCCGGTGGATGAAATCTGTATTTTTTACATCAACAAGATATAGCTTGTGACCCAGTGAGAGAGCTCAGTGGGACAATATTTGCTACCAAGCCTGATATAATGACTTGAGTTCAGTCCCCATGTCCCTCATGGTAGAAAGAGAACCAACTCCTGAAAGCTTTCTTGTCACCTCCACACTCACACCATGGTACGCATGACACACACGTCTGGTATGATATGATAATACAATATGATAATACAATATCTAGATATGGAAAGATGGAAACAAGTCTCCGTACAGTTTCTGAGTAGCTGATTGGACCATGTGAACAACTGATGGGTTCAGGCTTTTTTCAGCTTCCTCAACCCACACTGTTGTGTAGTAGATGGCATTTGGTACACTGAGAAAATACACAAAGGGGGGGGGTAGTAACACATATACTTGAAAGTCTTTCCATGCCCCTGGGAAGTAGTCTGGCTTCTAATTGCATATACTTTCATGTGTATGAGGAAATACATACATACATATATATATATATATAATTTTAAACATTTATTATTGTGTATATATATATTATTTAATTTTAAACATTTATTACTGTGTGTGTGCCACACACAGGTAGAGGTCAAAGGGCAGCCTGCAGGAGTCAGTTCCTTCCACTGTGTCAGATCCAGGGATTGAACTCAGATCGTCAGTCTTGGCACTGTTAGCTGCTGAGTCGGCTCTCCTGCCCCAAAGTTCAATATTTTGACTGCATTCTGTTATGAATCCTGCTTCTCCACGGTGACTTCTCCGTCGTCATTCCGCTTCTCTATCAGATAGCTATGATGTTTGAGATCAAGTTGAAAAGGAGCTGAGTTAGTCTAGACTTCCGAGAAGCAAGATTTCACAGTTTGTTGTTACTTCTCTAAGTACGGCTGAGCTGTTTCCAGCCACCTTGTACAAAGGTAGAGGGACACATCATAAGGAGCATGTCCAGCCTCTGGCTCCAGAAGTTAGTGGGTGGTAGAGGAGAAGGGACAAGGTTTATAACAGGCAAGAGACATAAACTCCAGCAGGGAAAGCACTGTGGAGGTGTGTCAGGAAAATGCTGTATTTATCATCACTTTTTTTGTTTGTTTTGTTTTTTGAGGCAGGGTTTCTCTGTGTAGCTTTGCGCCTTTCCTGGAACTCGCTTTAGAGACCAGGCTGGCCTCGAATTCACAGAGATCCGCCTGCCTCTGCCTCCCGAGTGCTAGGATTAAAGGCGTGTGCCACCACCACATGGCAATTATCATCACTTTTATGATATTTATTCCCTTCAAATTTGTGACTTCTTTTTGCATATTAAGTAAAAGCTGACTTTTTGTGTCTCATTTTCTATTTGTGATTTTTGAATGCTTTTATTTATTTATCTGTTTGTTTGTTTGTTTGTTTATGTATTTATCTTAAGGATCCTCTCTCCTCTCTGCTAGTCCCTCCGGCTTCAATGGCATGGATTTCAGACTGCAGAGAATCAGGATCAGCGCCCC